AAAGAAGGGCGAATGAAAGAGAGAGAGAGAAAAAGAGAAAGGAGTCCCAGGAACAGGAATGCAAAGCCAGGATCCGTCATCTTCCCCTCCCATTTCGCTCTCAGCACTGAATTAGCCCGATCCTTCTTCTTTTGGGAAGAGCACATCATGCAGCAGCAACTCCCTTGCCCAGTCCCAGCGGCGCAGAGAAGCAAGTTGCTTGGGGGGAGCGGGCGGGGAAGGTTGAACTCCCTCTGGTCCCAGGGCCCGCACCGCATGCATCAGCAGCAACTTAATTGGCAGACCAGCTGTTGGGACCAGGTTCAGCTGCTGATCTGATCTGCGCTTGCAGGATCTTGTCGTAACAATTACAGAATCACATGCCAACATGGTTGGAGAAGTGCATGCCAGTTGAGTCACATATCCAGTCTCTTTTCTTCGCTGGCGCCTTTGTGTCTGGCGCCAGGAGCCGGCTCCGTATGTCAGTTGCCCGCGGCTCGGCGCACCGGCGAAGATACAGCGCACATGCACTAGAAATGCGGAAGCTGCTGCGAGCGCTTGCAGGGCACGGAGAAGGGATCCGCCAAGTGCAGCCACGAGCCGGTACATAAGGGCTACAGCACCCCCAACCTCGTCTTGTCGCCTCTCCTCTCTAGCTTTCTCCGACGACCTTTGACTTTCTTCATTTCTGTCTTTTAGCGTCTTTTCTTGTTTATCTTGAGGGAGAAAGCGCTAGTATTCGGGCCAGTGCCTTTGCTGATCGCCTTGTCATTGTTTAACGCCTTTTGTTTTGGAGCGTATTCTCTTTCTCACTACTCTGGGCTATGGACCCTAGCAAACTATTGCTTGAGCAGTCGCAGCATGCGCTGTCTGCAAACGACGTCACGCGACTTTTGGGAATATTTGACCTTTACGCAGATGCAGATGCTGGCGGAGTCAAGTGCATGACACCCGCTGGTTTTACCCGTGCAGTCGCTCCTCCCGCGCTTGGCGATGACAGCACGCAACTTGTATTTGGTGCCCTCTTTGCCATTGCCGACACAGAATCCCGCGGCCTTCTCACAAGTGACGACTTTATCCGCTTTCAGGCGTTACTTTGCGATCCAGATGCGGCTTTTAGCCTCCCATTTCGCGCCGTTTCACACAGCAGTGGCACTGACTTTGCGCAGTCACGCACATTAGCCGCGCTAGTAGGTGATGACCCAGCGACAAAGAACTACATAAAAGACAAGGCTCAGCTCAGCTATGCGGAATTCATACAGCTTGTCGAAGCATCCCGTGCTGCTCGGATCCGCAAAGCCTTTTTAAGCGCCGACCAGCAGGGTTCTGGTTGCGTTAACGCAAACAAGCTGCTCGAAATTTTGCGCGAATTTGTGCCTCTCGAGTCTACAAGCTTAATTTCACAGCGTCTAACGTTGCTCAGCGAGCTTCCCGAGAGCGGTCGCATTGGCTATCCGACATTTCTAGCTCTCATCCGTCTCCTAGAAGATCCTAGCCGGATACGTCGGGCAACAGATGAAGTACTGCGCCGTGAGACTTCGGCCAATGTAAAATCACCTGGTACACTTGAATTGACACGGCCACTCTTTACTAGCACAACTACATTGCTGAAGCCGCTCGAGGTCAGCGTCCTCTTTACACTTGCATCTGGCCAACGAGGCGCTGAATCTGCGTTGTTGGAGAACATCAATAGTGCTATAGATACGTGCATGCAGGCCCTTAGACCTGCCGCTCAGAATGATCTACCACAAGTTCCGCCGCCTACAACTGCTCAGAAGCCGCCGCGTTCGGGGCTGATGGAGGTTATGTTTCAGGCGTATAACTTTGCAGTTGGCGCAGTAGCTGGTGGAATTGGTGCTGCTGTCGTATATCCGATTGATCTTGTCAAGACGCGAATGCAGAACCAGCGTGCTGCAGTTGTTGGTGAGATGATGTACAAGAATAGTATTGACTGCTTCCGCAAGGTTATTCGCAATGAAGGAATTCTGGGTCTCTACCGCGGTATTGGTCCGCAGCTTGTCGGTGTTGCGCCTGAAAAGGCAATTAAGCTGACAGTCAACGACTTTGTTCGTTCCCGGCTCACAAACAAGAAAACCGGTGAGATTGCAATTGCCAGTGAGGTCCTTGCTGGTAGCATGGCTGGTGCATCGCAGGTAGTTTTCACCAATCCACTGGAGATTGTCAAGATCCGATTGCAGATCCAGGGAGAAATACTCAAGGAAACTGCCGGCACAGCAAAGGCCATATCCCGTAGTAGCGCCATTACTATTATCAAGGAGCTTGGCCTTCTTGGTCTCTACAAGGGTGCCTCAGCATGCTTGCTGCGTGATGTCCCTTTTTCGGCTATCTACTTTACATGCTATTCGCATCTGAAGAAGGATATTTTCCGCGAAGGTGAACGCCGTCTGGGTGTTCTGGATCTTCTGCTGGCCGGAGCTATTGCCGGTATGCCTGCTGCCTATATGACAACACCTGCAGATGTCATCAAGACACGTCTCCAAGTTGTTGCTAAACAAGGCGAAACCGTCTATACTGGACTTGTTGATGCTGCGCGCAAGATATACAAAGAGGAAGGATTCAAGGCATTCTTTAAGGGTGGACCTGCTCGCATTTTTAGGTCCTCGCCGCAGTTTGGTGCGACACTGATGTGCTATGAGCTTATCCACCGTATTGTTCCGTTCCCGGGCGAATCCCAAGAGTTGCCTGTCGATCGCAATGCTCAACATACTCGCGAGCTCTTTTCTCAAACAAATCTCTTCCATGCAGGCAATGCATTGCGGCTTTTGCATGACTCTGGGTACAAGTTTGGCTCACCCGTCCCGCCTCAAAAGACACTCTGAGTGATTTGGCCCCCGCAGTCTTTGTATTAGCATACAGCAAGCAAGCAACCACTGACCTTATGAAACTGTAAACTCGGATATGATTACAAAGAGTCTGTTTCAGATCTGCGTTGTATGTTTAACCGATATATTTAGAAAATTTAACATAAATGCAAGACATCCAGTTAGCACTGGTGTTAGCGTGCTGAAGTTATTTTAAGAATTTATTATATTCAATCCAAATCGGCTATTTACTCTGAATTGATACATTGATACTGCTCTTTACTTAATATGAGATCTGTAAGCACTGTCGCGGCCTTGATATTGTCGTTATTATCGTGCATAGTATTTGTTATTGCGACTAGTACGCGTTTTTCGATAATTGCTCTCGAATCACTACTGTTAATGTGATACTTTGCGACTATTTGTTTAGTAGCCTGTTTGACGCCTTTGGCCGTACGATCAAGCTGAAGTTTAGCTAGCAATTCATTAGTGTCATTTATCTGAGCTGCGGTAATGTCACAGTCAATGTCTACAGCGGCGACAGAGTTTAAAGCAAGTACAACTATTGAAACAGCGGACGCAAAAATAAATAAGCGCATTGTAGAAATATTTAAGCAATTAATATATTCAAAATAAAATACAAAATGTTGCGAAGACAAGAAGCGTCAAGCAAATATTGAATGTCTGTGTTCTTATAAGAGTAAATGTATTAAATTAAAATTGTTGCCCGAGAAGGCTTGGCTTGCACTTGTCTTGCACTTGTCTTGGCAAATATATAAAATAAAGTTGCAAGATTTCAAGTAAATTTCTTTTTAGCGGGTTAAAATAATATAATTTTTTTTTTACAATTTATGCCAAGACCAAGCCAATTTGCTTTGTTTTCTTTACTATATCAGTGCATTTCATAAAATTGGGTTTTATTTTCTGTTATCGAAAATACAACTGGTATTTACAACTGCATATAAAACAACTGTATTTATTTTATACATGTATTTAAATATAAATGTTAAAAGTAGGTATTAACGTCACATCTAAAGCACTTGTGCGCCTAGTTTATATATTAATTAATCACCGTCCAACTTTACTTGTAAGCTTAGCACTTGTTGTTTTGGCAATAAATGCACTTCCGATTCTTAATTATTATATCCGCAAAAACCTTGTCTGCTTCTTCATGGTCTGTACTTCCATTCATTAGCCCAGAAATGCCCATCGAAACACGTGCTTGCACTGCGCTCTTTGACCTAACATCTGAAAAGCCAAATCTCTGGATAAGTAGTATTGCAGCTTTCTTGACGCCTTCTACGTCGTGGCTGTACTGAAGACGATTAAGTAATGCACTGGCACCAGTTACATCGCTTGCACTAATTCCACAGTCATCTTTTGAGGCAGCGGTAGTAAATGAAGCTAACATGGCAATCATGCCAATAAATGCAGAAGTGAAAAAACGCATGATTTCAAGAAGAAAAAAAACTATTAAATGCAAACTTATTGTATTAGTATTTCCAAGGTTAAAAAGAAAAGCATCTAAAATCTGCTTCATCAAATTTTTATGTTAAAAATGCCTTGGCTAGCATCATTTGTTATAATAAAAGGTGTAAATTTTTCTTAACAAAAATGCAAACGCAAAAATAAAAAAGAAGCTATACCATTTGTAGGCATTTTAAAATACTTCTTTTCCGGTCATTGGGCTAGATGTTAAAAAACATTTTGTAATATTGCTTTTGATAGAAGATTCTCTTTTAAATTTTTTTATTGTTTTTCATGATTACTAAGGCAAATTGCTATTTTTCACTAAAACGCCTGATATGGTAAATTATAAAATTTTGTTTTGGACTATCGCTGGTATTCTCAACCAAAGCATATGGATACAGGACAAAAATATTGATACATAGTGCTTTGCAGATTGTTCAAATAACTGAAAAATGTCTTGTTAAATTATACGCAGACAATATTACTACCATGATATTTATTATTGCTTTTAAGAGGCTAACCGCATGCTTGCATTCTCATTAATCTTTTAGAAGCAGAAAGGACTATAAGAAGTTTTGTGGCTTGTTAAAAAACTTTAAAACTATTGAAAATAGTATCACAGCCAAAACACTGCGACAAATGCTACCAAGACTAGCGCAACAAAAGCAAGAAGAGTATAATGGCCTAAATATTTTGTGACATTTAAAAAAAATGTTGCAAAAAAGGGTGCGATCACGCCCGGGTTCGAACCGGGGACTTCTTGCTCCGGAGGCAAGCGCTCTTCCACTGAGCTACGCGACCATTTAAAATGCAGAGCTAGTTCTCCAATTATGAGTTTAGTTTATTTAAAAAATATTCGAATCTTTAAGCTAATTTTATGCGCATAATGGATTTTTTGGAAATGTCTTTGTTCTAACTTCAAACGCTATAGGCATAAGCGTCCCGGATGATATCTGCATGGTACTCGGCGATACACGGGTAGCAATGTCAAGCTACTATAATAATTTACAATTTACCGGAATCGAAAACACAGTCAGCACACTGGACTTTGAGATGGCAAACATACGCCATTGGCAAATGGGTCCGTTCTTTAAGCCGAAGTATCTGGCAAAGATGGAGCATACAATTATGAAGCATGATATTTACTCTACTAGAAGCAAATGAGACCGGATAATCAATAAAAGCGCCAACAGCAAAGCAGAGGTAAATTATTGTAACAATTTTCTCTTTGCTGCTTTTGACACAATTGGTATGCTCGTTTACGACTGGCAAATAAGTGAGCTATCTACCAGCAATGTAAAGAGAGCAAAGCGGATTGATGTGACAGTCACTTATCTCGGGTTACAATCCATGCTGCGGCTTCTGCTCAAGTACCCGTTCTCGCTGCTTATGCAGCAGCCATGCTAAAGCTGCTACACTCAACTGAGTAATTACATCCATGAGTCTATCAATCTGCTCAGAAAACAACTTGTGGACCTTGCCGAAAAGGGCAAGCACAACCAGTGTCCAGCAGACCTGCTACAGGCATTTATCGATGCTGAAAATTCCGAGTCCAAGGTCTGCATGTACAGTTCAAAGGAGACCATACAGACACCTATGCTCAATGTTGTGCACATCTTAATTTTGTTAAGGCTTGCTTGTTCAAGTCACTGCACCTGAAGCCATTCACTGACGGGCTTTTGCCGCGCGTGTCACCCAAGGGTGGCATGGTTATTCAGGGTAATTATATTCTGGAGAGTACAGCTATCTTTATCAATATGGCTGTCACCAACCACCACAGTGCATATTGGGACCGTCCATACGAGTATGATCAAACACACTTTATAGAAAATAGTGAGGCACGGCACAATGTGCTGACATTCAGCTATGGCAAACGCATATGTCTTGGGCAACATCTCGCGCTATGGGGGATGCTTACTATGCTAGAAAATATTCTTAAGAACTACGACCTCCAGCTGCCGCTTGACTACACCCATCTGGGCCCGAGTGTGCTTAACAAGCATGGCTATCCAAGGGTGACATATATAAAGCAGTACATTGTCGCCAAACCTGTAAATGACGAGCGCGGCTGTCGTCTAATCATAACCAAGGCGCACGCAACTAAATAATATGCCAAGTAAATCAACTGGCAGTTCTTTTGTTATTATCGTTCATAAAAATAAGCAAAAGAGCTAACATTGGCTTAGTCGTTGGCGATGGTAACCTCAACCTCGACTCCGGGCTCAATGGCAATGGAGGTAATCTGCTTGACAATCTCCGAGGGCGAGTACAGATCCACCAGGCGCTTGTGGATCTTCATCTCAAAGCGGTCCCAGGTCTTCGAACCCTCACCGTTAGGGGTCTTGCGGGTGGTGATTGCCAGACGCTTGGTAGGCATGCGCACGGGGCCCTTAACCCTGAGCTGCTTGTCCTTGGCACGAAGGATAAGGTCTGAGCACACCTTTTCAAGGTTCTTCACATTGCGCGAGGTAAGGGTGATGCGGATGCGGTGGATCTGGACCTCAGAGGGCTCCTGATATCCGGCCTTCTTAGCGACTTGAGACATTGTCGTGTACGTATGGACAAGAAATTAAATTCAACAGAAACTGTCCCAGCGGTGACCAAGATGCCAAAAAGAACAACAATAGCTAAAAACAGCACTTAAGAATGAAAGAGAGGAGGACAGCCTGGTCGGTTGCTGTTGCGTGGATGGGAATATACTTTATGTGAAAAAAAAATTCCACTGCCTTTTTTCGGCCATCCAAATATCTAATCACAACCCTACAGATTATCACGTGGCATGCGGAATACCATCGCAGTAATGTTGTCCATGCTGTCGTTGGAAAGCGCATGGTCTAAGAGGATCTGGCTTGCGCGCGCAGGATCGCTCTCGTCGCGTACCATATCAACTGCCTCCTGGTCGGAGCATACGTCCCACAGGCCATCACAGGCGAGAATAAGAATATCGTCTTCATCGTCGAGTTTTGTTTCAGTCGTATATGGATTTCCGATAACAAATTGCTTGAGACTCGAGTCGCCCAGCGCGCGCGTCACGGCTAAAATGCCATTTACCCGGCCGTTAAATACATAGCCGCCGGCTTCGGAGATACGCTCGATCTCATGCGAGTCGTCACCCTTATGGTCGTATGTCAGCCTTTTTGCCTTACCGCCCCGACTCAACACCGCACGCGCATCGCCGACATTGGCGCAGTACAGCGTCCGCGAGTGCTTGGAAGGGTCGTCTTTTGCGTCTTTCTCGACCTTTACAAAGGCTACTACAGCTGTACAGCCAGAGCTTGTCTTTACCTCGGATGCCAGCCGCCGGTCTGCCTCGATAAACGCCCGATTCAGCACTTCAGGAACCGACTCACTAGAGTGGTTGGTCGCCAGCTTCCGGAACAAGTCCGCAAAATTGTCCCCGCACCACTGCGCTGCCTGCCTTCCAGCATGGCCGTCAAAGATAGCCAAAAAAGATTGGCCCTTGATGCCATCAAAGTCATACTTGTGGTAGTGAGCGTCCTCCATAGTTCGTCGATACCGCCTGTTCTTTGAAAACGAAACGCCAATGTGCGCACATTGTGTGCTGCCAGTCTCGGTATGCTCACCAGCATCAGTTATATTGTCTGACACCAGAGGCTCAACACCACCCGCCGATACCTCGGCAAGACTGGATGGGTTTGCCGCCGGCTGTCCAGCTCCCAACGAAGAGGGAGACAATGTAGAGAGGGAATTTCCCTGGAAAGAGCTTTCGTGGATCTTGCTGGCGTTTTCGGTATCAATTGGAGGCGGAATAAAACTGCGCTGCAGCCTCGGCGGTAACTGAATCGAGCTGGTCGTGTTTGGGAATGTAGCAGTTCCAGACGCTGCACTCTCAAAAACTCCGTCGGTAGGGCTACCGGCATATTCCCCAGTGTTATTGTAACTGGCGCCAGAACCTGGTGCATTGCTGTCCGAATTTTCGCTCATAGTATACGTAATAATAAGGGGCTACTGACTCCAAGCAGAAAGGAAAGACGTGTGTTTGGAAGGGGAAATTCGAGAAAAGAGGGAGAGAATCACTAAAAGACAGAAAGAAATGCAGACTTTAAACGAAAGGCGCATATCGGCAAGCAAAGTGGCCAACCGTTGTTTCTATTGAGGCAGCGCACATCATCGATTCATCACGCCCTCAGGCGTCCCCTTGTCCACTAAGTAGCCACGTGAACACTGACGCAAGGCTCATGGACTGCGGGGGTGGCGGATGCTGTGGGTCAGGTCGGGTCGGGATTGGGGGAGGGCCCGTGGCTTTACTGGATCACAGACAGATCACCCAGGCTGGAAATGTAGTAGCTGGCCTGAGGCGACTCTGGCGAGCAAACCGCGGTCTCGTCAGCGACGCCTGTCAACACGCATAACGTACTCAGGCCGCCCTTGATTCCAAAGAGAATGTCAGTGTCCAGACGGTCGCCGACCATGCAAGTGCGCGCGGGTTCAAGAGAGAACTTTTTCAGCACACATTCAAGCATGGGCGTGTTTGGCTTGCCCATGACAAGAGGAGTCCTCTGTGTCGAGTGCACAAGCGTATTAAGCAAAGAGCCAGTGCCAGGATACATGTGTTTGCCACCGGGCAGTGTGCGGTCGTCGTTGGTGGCGATAAACAGGCAGTCTGGGTTCTCGACCAGGTTTACATGAGCATTAGCCAACTTACGGTATGAAATGTCATAGTCAATACCACAAACAACAGCGCCAACTTCGGCACTGGGCTCAATCTCCTTGAGGGTAGCTAGTGAGACCTGAGCAATATCATCGTGGCCGACTGTCGTAATGCCAACCTCTTCGAGTTCATGGCGGATACCGGCGCCACCAATGACATAAACTTTCTTGCTAGGATCGAACTTGAGCACATCATGCAGATAAACGGCCGTCGCGTACGCTGAGCTAAATATCTCCTCAACCGATGCCTGGATGCCAAGACTAGTGAACTTTTTCACATAGTCTTTGCGCGAGGTAGCGCTGTTGTTGGTGACAAACACTAGGCGCTTTCCTCGACTCCGCAGCATATCCAGTACTTTGGGCACGTTGTTGACCACTGTGCTTCCATGCCAGATGACGCCATCGTAGTCAAACAAAAATGTGTCGTAGCGGTCCACAAAGGACTCGTATTCGCTACGGGTACTCAATCGTGTTGGTCCCATCGTCAATTGCAAAAATTCTCCTTGGCAGCAATGTTGCAAAAACTCTAAATTCAAAGAAGAGTCAGGAGTTATTTCTGCACAAGGGTTTCCCCAGCTATCAGAGCTGCACGTGCGGACTCGACTCAACTCGGTTAGCGGGTTGGGCTGGTTAGCAAATTGCTCATGCGTATGGTGCCATCTGGGACAATAGCGATTGGATGCCGACCTCCGCGTTTGCATCAATCACAAAATAGGGTACAAATCTTACTTCGTCAAAGTTGAAATACACATCTATACGGCAAATATGCAGCGGTTCTTGGTACACATGAGAAAAAAAAATATAGCGCAGTGGATATAAAACAGCTGGCAACGCGCTTGCGCATCATCTAGGCAAACGTCTTTGAGCATTCGCAATACACTTTTCTCTAGCCACACGGATATACTGAAAAGAAATGGCATCTGTATCTCCCGTAACCGCGACGCCGACTCCTTCACTAATCGCTGGGCTTCGCCTGAGTGGTAAAAAAGCCGCAGTATTTGGCGACGGACAAATTGTCGCCAGCCGGGCTGTGTTTGCACTGGACGCCGGCGCGGATGTAGTTCTGTATACAGCCGACGCGCCTGCATTTCTTACCAAGTGGGTGGATGCTGGACGGCTTCGCATTGTTC